TCCAGGAGCGCGTGCTGCGCAGAATCCAGTGGGACGAGGAGGCCGCGATGGACAGGCGCGCCGCGGCGCTTTCCGAGCGGGTCGAGGACGTCAAGCGTGCCGAGCGCCGCGTGGCCCGCCACGAGGTGATGTGAGGCGTCGACGGCGTGTGTGCTTGTCGCTTGTTTAGGGTTCCCGGTTCCGCCGGATGGGCCTTTGCCGACGTGTGCTGGGTGCTGGGAAACGCAGTGGCGGCGGCGGTCCAAATGCCCAGGAGCTGCCATTGGGCAGCCCAGGAAAGCGGACCGGACAGCTCAGATTACTGGATGGACAGCTCAGATTACTGGATGGACAGCTCAGATTACTGGATGGTAGTCCAGATTACTGGATGGACAGCTCAGATTATTGGATCAACAGCTCAGATTATTGGATCAACAGCTCGGATGGCTGGATGGACAGCTCAGACCACTGGATGGCAGTCCAGATTACCAGGAACCGAGCAGCCCAAGTTCTCATGAACCGAGGCTATTGAACCGTCCCTCACAACTCTCCAAGATCAAACCAGTCCATCAGCACACCGTCTACTGGACATCGACAAGTGCAATGCAGCAGAGCTCAACCGGCATCGGCAGTCTAAAACTATTGCCAAGTATTGAACAGACAATTCCCAGGAATTGCATTTGGGCATTGAGCAGCCCAATTTCACACGAATGATTTCTCGGACATTGAGCAGCCCAGTTTCACAGGAACCATTTCTTGGGAATTAAAAAGCCCAGTTTCGCAGGAACCATTTCTTGGGAATTAAAAAGCCCAGTTTCGCAGGAACCATTTCTTGGGAATTAAAAAGCCCAGTTTCGCAGGAACCATTTCTTGGGAATTAAAAAGCCCAGTTTCACAGAAATCATTTCTCGGACATGGAACAGCCCAAGAGCAGACACTGAAGTTGCACATAGATTGAGCGTCAGGTTAGCAGCCCAGCACAGGTTCCTTCGCACTGCTCAATCCATCAGAAACGACAGTAATCAAGCAGAAACTGAGCCGCACTGATGGTCCTGCTCAATTTGCCGCGAATGAACAGCCCGAGCCACCAGAAATCACTACCGGTCGTATAGGGCATCGAACGGTCCCATCAACAGAAGCTGCGCCGGGCCTAACCAGACCAGCCCGATCCACCAACAATGAAGCAACCGGGTATTTCGGGCCTGAACCTGCCTGGCACTTCCGTCTTCTGCCGGCCCTAATCGGACTTGGCCCTAATCGGACTTGGCCCTAATCGCGCCTGGCCCTAGTCGCGCCTGGCCCTGCACGGCAGGCCTCCAGCGCCCGCGCCAAATCCGGGGACCGCACCTCCAAACGTGCCCTGCTCAGCCCGCCCTCACAAACAGCAATGCACCGCAATCTCCTCAGCGTGCCGTTGCGCATCGCCGAAGGCCTCGAGCTCGACAAGACCCTTGCCAAGGTCATCGAGCGCGACTTTTACCAGCCTGCGGCCGCGTTCGACGACCTCGCCCGCGCCCAGAGCCTCCACATGGCTCTAGTCAGCGGCAGCAAGACCGCCGCCGTCGACACACAGGCCTACGAGCACACGCTCACGGCGTTCTTCTACTTGGTGCAGGACCTCCGGGCCAAGTTCCCCGACTACGTGGCCACGTTCGAGTGGTACGACACCTTGCAGCACCGGCAGCCCGTGCTCCAGGCCCGCGACTGGCGCCTGGAGGCGCTCCTAGTCGCCTACCAGATGGGCGTGTTGCACAGCCGCGCCGCACACGGCGAAAGCGGGCACGCGGACGACGGCGTCAAGAAGGCGTGTGCGCAGCTCCAGGCCGCGGCCGGCTGCTTCCAGTACCTCTTGGACCAGCAGGACGGCGCGCCGCTCCCGGCCGCCGCGGGCCTCGACGCCGCCACCGTCGGCTTCTTGCGCGTGCTCATGCTCAGCCAGGCTCAGGAGCTCATCTGGCAAAAGGCCGCGCGCAACCCGGCCATGAAAGACACGCTCGTGGCGCGCTTGGCCTCCACGGTGGCAGACCTCTACGAGGCCGCCGCCACGCATGGCGCGGTGTCCAGCGCCATCCGCCAGGAGTGGCTCAACCACGTGAGCGTCAAGCGCTTGCACTTCCGGGCCGCGGCGCTCTACCGCATGGCCACCAACGCGCGAGACACGTTCCAGTACGGCGTGCAGGTGGCCTACTTGCGTAGCGCCGATCTGCTCTGCCACGAGGCGTTGCGCCACAGCCGGTACGTGGGCGAGCCCGTGTTGGAGGACTTGGGCGGCTTGCAGAAAACCGTGGCGCAAGCGCTCCGCACCGCCGAGAAAGACAACGACCTCGTCTACTTGAAGCCGGTGCCCGAGGCCGGCGCGTTGCCAGCCATCCAGGGCGCCTCCATGGTGGAGCCGAAGTTGCCGCTGCTGTTGGCGGCACGCGACGCGGCGTTCGCGCCCGCGTTCGCCGCGCTCTTGCCATTTGCCGTCGTCCAGGTGAGCCACGCGTTCCGCGAAAGACAGGACGCGTTCATCGGCTCGGCCTTCCGCGAACCGCTCCGGGCGCTAACCCAGAAGCTCCGGCGCTTCCTTGCGGAGCGCCAGCTCCCGGCGGCTCTCGACACGATGCAGGCGCCAGAGAGCATCCCGGACTCCATCGTCCAGCACGCGCAGGAGATCTTGTCCATTGGCGGCACGCGCGTCATTGTCGGCTCCATGGGCGAGGTTTCCATCTTGGCGGCCAACAGCAGGGCGCTCGTGGAAGAGTGCGAGGAGAGGTTGCGCCTCGAGCAGAAGGAGGACGACTTGATGCGCGAGCGGGAGGGCCCAGATAGCTGGACCCGCACGCCGTCCAACACCGCCAGCGCCAAGCACTGGGCCACCATAGCCAAGATGCGCGAGTACCTTGATCAGGGCCAGCAGAGCGATGCTTTGCTTGGCGAGATCTACGGCTCGCTCCGGAACACCTTGGACGTGTATTGCGGCGGCCACGAGCTGTTGCTCAAGCACATCCCAAGGGACACTCACGTGTATCTAAGCCAGCCGGGCGAAAGAGTTGCCCTCGAGCTCCGTGACTTGCTCGCACAGGTTTCGGCTCTAGAAACGAAGCGCGAGCGGTTCCAGTCGAGCATCGACCTCAAGTCGAGAAACCACAGCATTCTCTCCGTGGTCGTCGACGCGTTCAAGCGCAACCCCGACAAGTTCCAGAAACCCGACGGCTCCGTCGACCGGGCCAAGTTCGAGCCTGTGTACGAGAAACACATCTCCTTCTTCAACTCGGACCTCGCCTACTTGGCGCAACTGAAAGAACTGCAGGTGGCTTTGGAAGGGAAAATCGACGACACAAAGCTGAGGTTCGACCACTTCAAGGCCGCGTCGCTCAGCAAGGCCCAGGAGGCCAGGCTCAAGGTGCTACAAACGCTCGAAAACGACTACGTGAGGTACTTGGAGCTCGTGCAAAACTTGAACCTGGCATCCAGGTTCTACACAACCTTTTTGGAGAGGGGCAACACCGTACTCAGGGAACTTGACGAGTTCCTACTTAGCAGGAGAGAAGAGGCCCGCGAGCTTGCCCTCCATATACGCGACCAGCGGAACTTCGAAGGAATCGAGCTGTCGATGGCCCGGAATCTGGGGCATCTCGCCGCACCCCGACTGCACAAGGCGAATATTTGGGACCCGTCCAAGGGCATCAGGTTCTCGTAGTGTGTACAGGAACATGCCATGTTCTTCGCAGCACCGTGCGATGCTAAGCCGGTGGTGGAGCCTCCACTCTCGCTTTCATGATCCTACGCCATTTGCGCTACATCAAAAACTTGATCACAACGAAAAAAATGAAGAACGTGGTGACTATAGTGGGCACCACTGGCGTGGGAAAGTCGCAAGTATGCTTTTACGATCCATATTGAATGAGTTTATACGGGTACTAACTGTTTTCTTAAGTTCAGCATAGAATTGGCCAAATCTATCAATGGCGAGATCATCAATGCAGACTCCATGCAAGTTTATCGTGGAGCCCCGATCATCTCCAACAAACATCCTTTGGATGAGCGTGAAGGAATTGCTCATCACGTCATGGACCATATTCCGTGGAACGAGGAGTATTTCATTCACAGGTACAGCGCTGAGGCGGTAAGTGCCATTGACGACATACATGCAAGAGGGAAAACGCCGATCATCATAGGTGGGACTCACTACTACTTACAGAACTTGCTATTCAAGAACAAGACAATCGGTGAAAAGGAAGAGAAGGAAAAGTTGATTCCCCTCACCCAGGAGCAACAAGACTTGCTCGACGGGCCCGTCGAAGCTATTTTCGAGGCTCTTACTAATGTAGATCCTGTCATAAGTGAGAAATTCCACCCGAAAGATACGCGAAAATTGAGAAGGGCATTGGAAATCTATTACACCACGGGACAAAAGCCGAGCGAAATGTACCACGAGCAGAAATTGGACGAGCTTGAAGATACTTCCTTGAAATACAACACGCTTCTTTTTTGGATATATTGCGACCCCGAGATTTTGAAGCTGAGGCTAGATCAGCGAGTTGACAGCATGATGGGGGCTGGTGCTTTGGATGAGATTCGTGAACTAAATCAGTTTTATGAAAGCCAAACACTGCCCCCAGACATGACTAAGGGTATTTGGCAAGTCATAGGGTACAAAGAGTTTCGGCCATGGTTGACTGGAGGACAGACCGATACAAAATTATTTGAAGAGGGCGTGGAGAGGATGAAGATACGAACTAGGCAATATGCCAAGTATCAGGTGAAGTGGATTAGAAAACTCTTAGGTGTTGAGCTCAACAAAGAGTCACGTTTTGGGTTCAAATACGGTGGGAAAATGTACTTGCTTGACGCGACTGATTTGAGCAAATGGGCAACGGACGTGCGGGCCAGAGGCTTGTCCATAGTCGACCAATTCATTGCGAAGGGGCCTCTTGGTGTCACGGAGGCTCAAGCACCTGAGAAATTAAGAGAAATCTTTCCTTCGTCGGAATTTTATGAAGAGTTCAACAGCAACAAGACCATCAAGGCTGTAGAAAACTGGAAGCATTTTGAGTGTCCAGTTTGTAAGGATTCACAGGGAAGCCCCTTAGTGGCCGTGGGTGAGGATAACTGGAGCATTCATCAGAAGAGCAGGCGTCACAAGAAGCAGATCAGCTATAATCAGAACAAGAGAAAACACGAGGAGCTACTAAAGAAATATAAGAAGGTCAAGGAGGATATCCTGCAGTGAAAACTAAAATATATTGGGTCGAGCCCGAGACGACGATAACATGTTCTCCTGCTATACTGTTCCACGTGAGGATTAAAGAAAAACCTATGATCTACCTTTTTCTTATCTTTTCCATCGCAGCTAGTCTGATTTGGCTCAGAGAGAAATGTACATATCTCATCTAGAATCTATTTGCCCACAGTCCAGGCATAGCCGAAACGCTACTTTAATCATTGCAGGTACACGTTGAATTCTCTTTCCATCGAGTATCATCCAAGGGCAAATAGGGAAGGCTTCTTTTTTTGAAAGAAACATCAAATTATAGGGTGTCACTGATGGATGTACTGTTCAACCACAAGAATAAACCTATGACATATCGCAACATAAAGACCACCAACTCAAGAAATCTCCAATAAAGATGTGACTCCCTTCAAAAAGGCGTCTGCCCATTACCAATGTCGACCCTTTGAAAAAATTCAAGCAAATCTCATTGCCCCGTAGGATATGTTTTTTAAGGGCCCGTGACCATAGTTCATTTGACAAGGTGGCAAGACGTCCTTAGCAACAAACCCTGGAAACAACTTTTACAAATCAATAAAGACTTCTTAGATTGCCAAAGGAAGTACTTAAAGGAGCTAGCATCCCTGAAGTACATTGGAGTTTGAAACCGATCATTTGCCCCCAGAAGTGCACAATCTTATTTTTTTGGTAATTCATCTGATTGAAGGAACACGACTATCCTAATATCATATATAAGAACATTGAATCAGCTCCCAGATACGTACCAAGTGTCGAAACTCGGCCCGCCCCTTTCGTTCATCACGGCCTGGACGGTCCTCTTGGCCCGTATTTGTTTACGTTTTGGATATTATGTCATCGATTAATTACAGGGGTAAGTTAGTCTCTGACTGCTAAGAAGTTAAAACCTGAGATTTTTTTTTTCAAGTGTGGATGCATTTTGGAGAGCAGAAAACCATGTAAACAATATTCTTTAGAACAATAATAAATTTATATAGCGCGTTTATAATGACACTAAACTATTATGAAACAGCCTGGAGCTGTCTCTTAAACTACGAGTAGATCGGTTTATAGATAGTTCAGCCTTAGTGGATAGGCCTAGTCTATCTGTCGTATTCTCGATGTCTAAAAAGTGTTATCCTCCTTCAGGGATGTCTCAGCCTCACGCTCCTTTATAGTTCGGAACCCTTCTATACAGTAGGTGAGGGGTAACCCCGATCAGGAATGTTTAGACTCTTCGTCCTTCGTATTATACAGGATGCCAAGAATCTATAATCTTGCTCATGTCGTATCATAACATAAACAAGCTTCGTTCCTCATGGCCCAATGGTCAAGGCGTCTGGCTACGAAAGTAACCACTTCTGTTGGAACCAGAAGATTCCAGGTTCGACTCCTGGTGGGGAAGCTTCTTTTTTGCTTATATGGGAAATTTTCTAGCCCGCGCCTGCTTATACATGCTCGGCCTATTTTCTGGTTTTAGAAAGCGACACTCTTCCTTCACCGCCGTCCTTTCGATCATACCCTGGAACTGCCATTTAAAAAGCCCATTTATTCTGCCACACGAGGATGATCATTTACAGTCTATACATCCTTAACAAAGCAGGTGGCTTGATCTACCAAAATGACCTCAACCCAGGATTGGCAAGGCTCAATGCTAACGATTATCTTGTATTAGCTGGCACTCTACACGGAGTGCATGCCATAGCTACAAGAATACGACCAGTAGATAACACTATTCCTCAAGACGAGGTCCCTTCTGCGAACACTTCAATTCTAACATCGGGCAAAGCAAAGTTGCCAAACACAAATAGCCTGGGACTTCAGCACATGGACACCGATCTTTTCAGTTTGTATGTATTCCAGACATTGACAGGACTAAAGTTTGTAATCATCACTAGCCCGGGGAAGTCTGGGCAGCAGAATAACCAGACACGTGGCGGTTCCTCGTCCACTTCAAAGGGCGACCTTACACGGCAATTCCAGTCTGTGGGGGCTGTGTACAAAGAGATCTATCAGTTTTATTGTGACTACGTGATGAAGAACCCTTTTTATGCTTTGTACATGCCTATCAAGTGTGCCATGTTTGAGCAAAAAGTGAGAGCCATGGCCAACATACGTATTACCGTTTGAGGGGAGGTGGATAGAATGTGATGGAGCGAAAACAAGAAGAGGAAAAAGAAGAAGAGGAAAAAGAAGAAGAAGAATGAGAAGAAAAGGAAAAGAAGGAAAGAAGAATAAGATAAGAAGATCTTGAACGAAAACAGTGTTTCTTTTATGGAGATTTTTGGCCTTGGGAATCAGTTTGGCTCCGAGGATCCCGTATTGGGCGGTGTCCCAGTAGGGCCGGTGCGCAAGATCACAGATATTGCTAGGGCCAGAGTGAGCATTGTCATAGTGTGAGATACAAGGCACATCGTGCCGAATTTTCAGTGGTAAGAGATCCGAGAGACTTTAGTTCTGCGTCTTTGTATTTTTGTTTCCATTTATCGTCAGGCAAAAATTTCTATCGGGGTATTCTGGGCCAAGGCTAGGGCCAGAGCTCGTTCGCTCGCTAGTTGGCCCTGAATACCGCGGCCCGGGTCCAGCCTCACGATCTGTGCAGAGCCTCATCACCAAATTTTCCACCACCGCCAATCAAAATGGAATCGAAGCCCGAGCAGCCAACCGAACCCAAACCGGCGTTGGAGTCAAGAATCGGAAAGGACTCCCCTTTCACATTTGGCCAGCGGCTCCTTACTGAAGACAAAGACGTCTTCGACCACAATGCATGGGACCATGTCGAGTGGGGCCAGGAGCAGATTGACGATGCTGAGAAACTCATCGCCAAGCAGTACGAACAGCCGGTGAAGGATTTCGACAAGAAGTTGTACAACGCCAGCCCAGCCAAATTCTGGGACATCTTTTACCGCAACAACCGCGAAAACTTCTTCAAGGACAGAAAGTGGCTCCAGATCGAATTCCCCTTCCTATACGAGGCCACCGGCGCCGAATACAACAAGCCCGTGTCGATCTTGGAGGTTGGATGTGGTGCGGGCAACACGTTCTACCCGATTTTGAACCAGAACCAGAACCCCCAGCTCAAGATTTGGGGCTGCGACTACCTGAAGGTTGCGGTGGACTTGGTTCGAAACAACGAGAACTTTGCCCCCAACAACGACAAGGGGATTGCGTACTCGTCCGTGTGGGACCTAGCCAATGCAGAAGGCCAGATTCCCGACGACATGGAGCCTCACTCCGTGGACGTGGTGATCATGGTGTTTGTGTTTTCCGCCTTGAGCCCCGAGCAGTGGAGGAACGCCATCCAGAATCTCGACAAGGTGCTCAAGCCTGGTGGACAGATTCTTTTCAGAGACTACGGGCGCTACGACCTCGCGCAGGTGAGGTTCAAGAAGGGCCGGTTGCTCGAGGACAATTTCTATATCCGGGGAGACGGCACCAGGGTGTACTTCTTCACCGAGGAGGAGTTGCGCACGATTTTCTGCACGGAAGGGCCCTTCTCCGAGACCAATATAGCGACAGACCGGCGGTTGCTCGTCAACCGCAAGAAGCAGTTGAAGATGTACCGGATCTGGCTTCAAGCCGTGTTCCACAAGCCCGAGGGAAGCGGCTCAGTTTCGGGTGATGACGATGTATAGGAAGTTGTCCATGAAGCGGAAGCGCGTCCAGAGATCGACGAGTGGCTCGTTCAATAGAACGTCGACGTTGACGCCGTGCACGTAGACACGAGGAAACGGCCGGGCCGAGAGGCCTGCCACCTGTGCAGACATGGCTCGTGCCAAGGTGTTTGGGCGTCCGTCCGTGTCGGCCGACCACACCGGGGCCTGGAAAAGTGTGGCGGAGCCCGCCTCGAAGATTTTGAGTGGGAGACGGTGCCGGGTGCCTTGCCCGGGAGTCGCCAATTTGCGCCGGATGTTGCTATAGACAGACATGTCGTGTTTGGCCATGGCACGCCAAAGGGCACACGTATCGTCGGCACTCAAGCTCAACACGGAGCGCGAGTTGCCGTTTAGGACGTAGCAAGACTGCTTGAGTGCGTTGATAAACACCTGGTTCAATAGTGTGTCGTAGTCGACGGTCTCTCCGGAGGCCGGGCCAAAGGGAATGATCTGGTCCGAAGGATATGGGTTGTGTGGCGAGGCAAGCCTCAAGACGAGGGTCCAGGACCGGTCCCGCGCCGTCTCATGATCAGGCAAATAGAGAAGATCATATAGAAGCCCGACAGGCAAATTCCAGCGGATAGCCACGTTTCCGTGCTCGAGCCAGACGGGCTGTGCGCACAAGTCCAGACAGCCCGTGGCGATGCGGAAAAAGTCGATGATCCGGGGGAAATACACGGGGAAATAGAGCATGCGCTTGGCTTCTAGCAAGTACTCCGCATCTTGGTACGAGACACGGACATGCACCAGGCCGTTCCAGACTTTTTCCGTGACTTGCTGGCTCATCTGGGGCCTAAGGTATGGAGCCGCGACTGGCCATGTGCGCGGAAGCCTGGGGCCACTTTAGCTAGGGCCTGGGGCACGCCGCGCCTGGGCCAGGGCCCGGGGCCTGGCCAGAAGGAGATTTGGCCCATACCAGGAAATAAATTGGGGGATACTGGGGAGATAGTTGGGCGATATTTGGAACATACTGGGGAATATGGTGGAAGATTCAGGAGAGGAAGCAAGAGCGATATCGGGGACTATCGGGACTATTTTGAGGAAGATGCGAGGGACAATAAAAGCTATTAAGCCGATATATAGGAGCATATTGGTGAAGATGAGGGAAGACTCCGGGCCACCGTCGAGACGATATTTGGACGATACAGGACGGTGCTAGAGAAGATGTTGCAGGCAATTCAAGAAACCATGCTAGACGTTTATACTCGAAATGTTGACAGAAACACAAGAGACTAATTGCGGAGAGCCACTTCGGGTGAGGCTGAATAAAAACCGGGGTTCAGACCGTCCCGTGCGATTCGTGGTGCGCGTTCATAGCCGGCAGGCCCAGCCGTGTTCCTTTGGCTGGACTTGCCATGTAGCATCGAAACCGGGCCTCCGTGTAAAAAGCGGAACCGTCGCCCGCCCTTCCATTCCGGAAACTGACATGTTATTAAGCGGCCCGATATTATTTGGACGTCTGTTGTGCAATGTCTATTGGGTTGTTGCGGGGCCTAATATACAACGCGAATATCACGGAGGAAATAGAACCAAAATCTGGAGCTCCGGGACCTGGGAGCAGCATGTTGATTTGAAGCACACGGCACAAGCTGCTGTCATAAGCTGGGGTAGATTGCCCCACCCAGAGGTTCGAGGCCAGCGCCACTGATAATACTTTTGGAGTATTAAGTGATGATACTCACTAGGAATATTAACTGATAATACTCACTAGGAGTGTCCACTAATACTCACTAAATACATTCACTAATAATATTCACTGATAGTTTTTACTAGAAATATTCACTGATAGTTTTCACTAGAAATACACACTGATGATAGTCACTAAAATAGTCACTAAAATCCTCCCTACATATATTCACTAAAATACCCACTAAAATACTCACTAAATACTCACTAAATACTCACTAAAATATTCATTAGAATACCCACTAAAATACTCACTGAATACTCACTAAAATATTCACTCAGTATTGACAATACTCACTAGAAATATTACTGATAATACCCACTGACGATACTCACTAAAAACTCACCAAACTATCAACTATAAACATCCACCGATATTCCTCACTAAAAACTCACTGGAATATCAACTAGACATCCACCGATATACTCACTGAAGTACTCACTAACGATACAATAGCATCCACGCAGAAATGGACCGGCCCGTGGCACAGACGTTTTTACGACACATGGCCCAATAACCACGTACTGTCAAACCCCGAAAGGCGGCAATCTAAGTTTCCCGGTCGCCACATTGTCTTGGTCGTGATCAACCGATGCATCCTGGACCTGAGCCCCGTTTGCTGGCCCAGTGTTTTTGGGCCAGGGCTGATTGCTCGCGGGCCCACTATGTACAGGAACAGCCTGTTTTTCAGGATTTGACGGCTGGTATACCCGGCACTTTCCGGAACTAAAGACCGGTCCCGGTAGACGGGGTAGGCATCCCAAGCATTCAATGCTCTCAAATCTTATTTTGCTTTTGCTTTATCATGTTTTTGTGGCCTAACAAGAGGGGATCGCCGGACCCAGGATTGCTGTCCACAGTGGGGCCAGGGGACCCGCGGCCCTATTGATGCCCGTAGCCAGCCAGGCCACGCAGCGCGCCAATCGAGGCTTTTCTCGAGCATCCGGCCGCATCAATGGCCCGAGATCAAAGCGGAAAGAGGAAGCCAAAGCAAGAGAAAAAAAATGCATGGGGTATATACTTGCCTCGGTTCCTGGCGTGGCTCCGGCACCGGGTTTTTTTCTCTTCTGACGCCCTACATCCTGGTTGGTCACTTTCATTAATTTCTCATCAATTGCCCCGGCCCGCACGCCCTACTAGAATGCCCCAACTTCCAAAGCTGCGAGGCAAGAATCCATACCGCCTATCACAGCAAGACTCCACGTCACGGGTGCCGTCTGCGCACATGGACGATTTCGACTCGGGCGCCGCTTTACAGTCCTACACCCCCCTGAGATTTTCAGGCGACGAGGTGCTCGACATTCCCGTGTATAACCGCGAGAAGAATACGATATGGCGCTATTCTCGCAGCATGGCCCCGGGCCTGCACCAGCCCTCTTCGCAGCCAGGCCCTAATTTGGAGAGCCCCAATTATGATGGGGCCAGCTATAACCAGGCCGCTTTCAAGAGCAAGGAAGATTTGGAGAGGGCCGATCACGAGAGGGCACAATACCAGAGGAGAGATAGCAAGAGGGCAGTTTATGAGAGGGCAGTTTATGAGAGGGCAGAATTTGAGAGGCCAGATTATGAGAGGGCAGATTATGAGAGGGCAGATCCCCAGAGGATATATTCCCAGAGGACAGATCGCTACAAGGCCAGCCATGGCAATGGTTTCTACGATCATAACGAGAAGAGTTCCAAGACACCAAACTATGAGCAGGCCACATCCCAGGATCACACGGTGAGCAATCTTGATGCGCAATATGGCCACGATGCTTATAAAGGCACCGGCTCTGAAAACCCCCAGACCCACGATTACCGAAATGCCTGTTTCACGAACACCGGGCTTGGCAACGCTATGTTCCAGAACACCGGTTCCAGAAAGACTGCCCCAGATTCCGCCCCCGGAAATGGCCACGTAGAACATGCTCTTCCAAGACGGCACGAGCAAGTCCGCCAGCCCGTCATGAAAATCCAAACAAGAGAAGCCGTTTTTTTCAAGACACTACAACCAGAAGCACAAGCGGCGCAGCTCAAAAACACTTATCTTCACAACGAAAAACAGGCCCCGGTCTCGCTGAACATCCACAAAAGAGACACCCTCAGGGACCTCGAGAATCCGGAGTTCCTCTTGCAAACAACGGCCCCGGACCGCAGCAAGCGTTTATCTGTAAACACACAGTTCCCAAGATTCGTGCCTCAGTTCCAGCACCAGCCCCAGTCTCGGGGTCCCGAGAACCGGCTGCAAAACACAGCACAGCCGATCGCCGAAACGGCTTTCTTGCAAACCCAGGAAAACCTAGATAAGCACACCTTGGCCAGCGCAGGGACGTCTAACCATATGTCCACGTCTGAAAGCCACTGCTCGGTCCAGACAGACGCTTCTTCCGAAACAGACTTGCTGTCTTTGGGGATATGCGCGTCGGAGTCCGTTTCGCCATATGAAGGGAAAGCTGATAGCAATCCCTTGAGCCAGAAAACAGTCGGAAGCAGTTTTGAGATGGCCGAGGCCGGCTCTTCATACCACGAGGATTTGCAGAACACGCGTCCGTTGTATGGCAGGCCACAGACCGTGCCTTCATATCACGAAAAGGAAGGTAGTTGCCCAGAGCACATCCAGATCGAGGAGCCGACTTCCGTGTACAACAGCACTGTGTTTGACCCGCATGCAGAGAAGGAGTTGCCGCCAGAACCCCCCAAGCACCAGCGCCGGCCACTCAGCGCCTTTGTGCCGCATGTGAAACGGACCGCCCGGCCAGTATCAAAAGTGCCGCGGCGCTCGCTCGACTTCTGTCTTGACATGGGCGCAGATTACGACAAGTCCAGGTTCATGATTCCAGCCGAACACCAGGTGCACCCCGAGGCCCGCCGCTTGAGAGAGGAGGCGATCTTCCGCAAAGATATCTCTAATCTAGGGAAAGACGCCCGCCAGCCCAAGAAAGGTGGGGATCGGTCTGGCTCTAGCCTGAGGAATGTATTTTCCGGGTTCAGACGTGGACTCGGTCGCCTTTTCAGATAGGCCTGGGTGTGGATACATCACTGGAGCAGCCATCTCTAGGAGCTGCGGCACTGAGTGTGAGCCCAGCAGGAATAATGTAATCATAGTCATAGTCATATTCATAGTTATAGTCATAGTTATAGTCATAGTTATAGTCATAGTTATAGTCATAGTTATAATCATAATCATAATCATAATCATAATCATAATCATAATCATAATCATAATCATAATCATAATCATAATCATAATCATAATCATAATCATAATCATAATCATAATCATAATCATAATCATAATCATAATCATAATCATAATCATAATCATAA